GAATTTAGGGGACTTGAGCTCTTGCTTGGCATTTTTGCTCAAGGCTGGCACTCTACCACCTGAGCCACACCTCCACTTCTAAAATTTTGCTGATTAATGGGAGATGAGAGTCCCTCAAATTTGCTTTTCTGGGCTGGCTTTAACTCTGGATCTCATTTTTTTTTTTTGAGTAGCTAGCATTATAGCATGAACCACTGAATACCTGGCAAGATTTCAGTAAATGTTTTCATATATGCTTGTGTTGATTTGAGTAGAAATGCTGCTATCATATAACATCCTGCACCAAAGAGTTTTACATTTGTTGATTCTTGTTGCACTATATAATGAAATAAAATTAATCCTATTTGAAGACATATTCAAAGTTCACAAAATTCTCTTCTACTTAGGTCACTCTACCATAATGAATAAGGATAAAAATCATCCAAATTAGTTCAAAATTATCCAAAACTTTCTTCTCAAGCATAGTCAATCCAGGGTTTGTGATTTGCAAAGATAATCTTTCTAATGACAATATAAAGTTGCACATAAAGTGAGCTTCAGTTCATTTTTCCCTCATGTATGAATCAGACATATGATCTCTGGTGATCACTGTAGTTAGGAGTTTTGTGTCTACACCAACCAGCAAAGAACATAAATTTTTAAAAAAAAAGTGGAATATGACTTGTTAGAGTTTTCCCAGAGATTGAATATTAAAAGCATCAAAAGACATGAACCACAGTCTGGGTTTTGTTGTTGTTGTTGTTTTTCGTATGGTTTCAACAATGTTAATTTTTTTCTCCCATCTTACAAGCTGTGCAGCACCTTTCCCCCTGCCACTTTTGCCTTGTATAATTAGCATATAATTATGTGTTCTTTCACACTGGAAAGACTATTCTTTTATTAATGACTCTGAAAAACTTCTTCATTATGTTGAAAGTCAGTTTGAAATAAAAGACACAAGATTAATTTTCTCTCTTTTTAAACTTAAGAAATATTAAAAAATAAAACAGGACACAGGGATATCACAGAAAATCCTAAATCTTCGACTTTCCAATGAGAAAAGGTGCTTGGGAAACAAATGCTGCATTTTCTGTTCTCTTCAGATTAAAATGATGCTAAAAAAAAAAAAAAACTGTTCTTGGCCTTTCTTTGTTTTTAGGGCAAAAATGGGTCAGAACAAAAACAGCTTCCTGAATCTAGTACAAAACAGGAGGATATAATTCATATTTGTTATAAATACAATAGACAATCCAAGTTCATCTTCAATGAATTTGTGCAGCTTCTGATTTCTATTCAATTCTGGAAGGTTTCACACATCTCTACAGAGGCCATGTAGGCCTCATTGCTGCTTTTTGGCTGACTGCTTTTTTCCACCATTAGGTTTTCCTAAGCACTCCCGATTGGATATGGGCAATTGCAAAGAGGGTGTACATTATTGGAAATTTTCGTCATTTCTGGAGCCATTTTGATTGTAGTGATCACCTCGTATGTCTCCCAGGAGACACAGATTGCTTTTAGCTGAGAGCAGTTTTTAGCTACTTTGTAACCTACTCCTGCTTAACTTTTGGATTTCCCTTAACTTTTGGGTCCTGCCAAATCAGGGTTTATTAGACTCACAGCACCCAAGCTAGCTTCTTCAAGACCAGCAAGTGGTCAATGATATCAATGAATCAGATAATTCAGGTATTGTCTCAATAAGCTGTTGCCACTTGTGCATGGTGGAAATTGCCTTCAGCGAACAATCCAACAATCCCATGGAGAAAGCAACACATTTTGCCCAGAGCTATTTCAAGAAATTTTCTCCTTTTTTTTTTGGTGGCGGGGGAGGTGTGAGTAGGAAGGGCTGTATTATGTATTGAACTCAGAGTCTTTTGTTTGCTAGGCAATTGTTTTACATTTCAACCACATTCCAGTCCTTTGCTTTTACTTTGTTTCTCAGACAGGGTCTCATGCTTTGACCTTGGCTGCCCTCTGATCTCAATCTTCCTATCTCTACCTTCAGAGTAGCTGAGATCACATACATAACCCTTCATATCCAACTTGTTTTGAAATAGAGTTTCACTAACTTTGACTCGTTTGGCCTCAAATTATGATCCTTCTATCTCTACTTCCCTAATAGACAAGAGTACATGCAGCCATCATCATATCTAGTCCATAAATGCACATTTTCTCCAAACCATTTACATCCTTTGGTTTAAAATATCTAAATATTTCCTTTTATCATAGGGATGGGGGGTTGTTTTGGTACCAGGGCTTGAACTTAAGGCCTTGCATTACTTTTTTGTCTTTATTTGTACTAGGTCACTTGAGCCACACTTCCATTCAAGATTTTTACTAGTTAATTCAAGATAAGAGTCTCAGGGATTTTTTTTCTTCCCAGACTGATTTTGAATTGTGATTCTTAAATTTCAGCCTCCTGAGTAGCTAGGATCACAAGCATGAACCTATAATCCAGGACCTGGTTTAATACCTCTTTTTTTAATAAAAGATATTTTTCTTGTGTAGAGGAAGAGACAGCAGTAATAATTTACTTTGATTTTACTCAAAAAGCTCTTCTTTAAATCTTCTCTTCTATACGAAGATAAAACTGGGAATCATGAACTCATTAAAATCCTTACACATAATTTAATCCAAGTGTCTATTGTTGCATAAATCCTTTCTACAATGACTTTGATGAGGTCTTCTGTTCTTTAAGGCAGAAGAGATGAAGGAAAAGTAAAGAAGCCAATGTCTTTGGGGTCATATCAGATAATGAAAACAAAGTATACAAGTTAGGTGTGGTTTTTATCAGTTTCAATTTTTTGGAAAGTATTTGGTGTAGGAAAGGTTCAATTTTAATTTCCATCATGAGATTCTGGCCAACAAGGAAGGAAATAAAACTGGATTTTTATTTTTTTTTCATGAGAATTTAGATAACATGGTCTTGACCTTTTTATTTCAATGATCTGGAAAGTTAAAAAATTTTAAAGGTCTACCTCATGAGAAAAAAAATCAGAAACTTTTAAGTAATAATGATTACCTAAGAGTAAGTTGAGTTATAAGTTAAAGTTACCTACAAAATACAAGTTAGAAGAATAGGTTCAGAAAGGGACTATGTGGCTTGAATCTTGATTTCCTAATTAATAAGTGCTCTGACCTTGGGAAGTCACTTAACTATTTAAAGTTTTGGTTAACTCATCTGCTTTAAAAAGGGGAGACAATAATATGTTCTTCATGGGATCATTAAGAGGACTAAAGCAGCTAATTAGTTTAAAGCATTTTGTTTGGTATTTGGTCTATGTTTATGTAGCCAATAAATGTTAGCTTCCTCTTGTCCACTGAGTAATGAAAACATGGAATGGCTATGGAGAATGGACAGGTTTTGTGTTTGTTTTTTTTTTCTCATCTGTTTTACCATCTCAATTCCTTGGTGAATTTCCATGAGTTTTATTTTGCATTAAGGATTGATAGGATTAGGGGGAAATAGTTTTATGAGATAACTATTTTATAAGGGAATTTTATGTTGCCAAAATGCTTTTAACCAATCAGTATAAATTATATTACTTTCTAATTCAAGGTATAATACAGTTATTCCAGTTTACTCATTCACTTAATGGATTTTGGAAAGATGTCTAACATCTAATGAACTACTTAAAGTCAATAATAATTTGACAAAGTTTCTCTTTATTTGTGCTGTTTGGAATATGGTCAGTTTTGTGTATAGTTAATCAGTCAGTGTATTGCAGATATTCCTCTATAGACTGAAATTTACTTGGGTGAATTATTAATCCCTTTAATGTATCCATACAAGGTTAAAAATTCTATGTCTATATCATAAATAACCAGGCTAGTTTTGTATCTTTATAAAATTCTCCTACACCATCACTGTATAATTCAATAAATAATTTTGTATTATTCAATAAATAATTTTATTTCTGTTAAATTAAAAAAAGACTAAACTTTCATGTGCTAATTCTAAAACAAAATGAACTGCAAATTCTGCCAGACCAGAAGATGTATTTAGCTGAGAAATTAAATAATAGTCATTTTTCAGTCCTCTTGCCAACCTCCAGAGGTTTGAAATAGCAAAACTGAAAGACTTTACAATCTTTAGAGTGCTCTCTTTGCACTGACTCTAGGATTCTGTAATTCTTCATAGTAACCCATGGCTGCAAACATCAACCATCAAAGAACTATTTAGTGAGTTTGGTGCAAGTGGCTCAGACCTGTAATACTATCTCCTCAGGAGGCTAGGCTCTGAGGATCCAGGTTAAAAGCCAGCCCAAGCAGACTTATTTAAGAGATTCTTATCTCCAATCAACCAGCAAACCACTAGAATGTCAGAATATCTCAATTGGTAGAGTGTCGCCTGTAAGTAGACAAAGCAGTGCAGCAGCAGAAGACCCTAAGCTCAAGCTCTGGTAGTAGGAGAAAAAGAAGAAAAGATAAAAGAAAGGAAGGAGGGAAGGAGAGAGGGGAAGGAATTTAGAAGGAGGGACTGAAGATAGGAAGGAAGAGAAGAGAAAAGGGGAGAGGAGAGGAGAGGAGAGGAAAGGAAAGGGGAGGGGAGGGGAGAGGAGAGAAGAAGGAAGATGAAAACTAATGTTCTAGAAATTAAGAATATCAAAATAACTTCTTCCATAAAACAGAAAGAAGCTTATTTGGAAAATATAATAGAGCCACAGAGAACTTAATACTCCTTTATCAGAATTTATTCAGATTGCTATACATCACAAGAATAAGATTTGGGATCAACTGCCAAGCATTTAATATGCATTCGTTGAGAGGTTCACATTAATGGCAATGTGAAACTATTTTTTCTTCATCTAGCATGATAGTTGATGTTAATATATAAAAGATGTTATTCTGAAATTTTAAAAAATACTATGAAAAAGTAAATTAAGAGAAAAATAGGAAAGCTGTACTTTGTGAAACTATGCTTTCTCTTTTTATAACCAACACTCAATGGAGCAACTACAAGTGCCTCCTTCTCTAATTCTGAGATATCTTGCCTTCTTTTTTCAAGACAGTTGTCCACTTACCCTAGTTGTTTTCACTTTATTCCCAGAAGAACAGCTCCATCCTTTCCGGTCTGGAAGTACTTTACATTCTTCTCCCTCCAAACATGGCTGCATATGACACCACCATTTCTGTTCCACTATGGAAGCTGAATGAGACAGACAGACAGACAGACAGAAGTCATCTCAATATTTTCTGATTGCATGGTTAATTCTCTGGGTACACATGTATAGAAGAACAAAGGTCAGTGCTCTAACTAAATGATTCATTGCTAAAGGAATTTTTGCTTAACGTTTTATTTCTCATTGTGCCAAGGACAATGAACATAGTATGTAAAATGTAAATATATTTCTAGTGGACTAATAACTACAACCACAGTGATGGACTTTTTTTTTGTAGGTGGGGCTTGAACTCAGGGCTTTGGTGCTGTTCCTGAGCCTCTTCATGCTCAAGGTAGTGATCTACCACTTGAGCCACAGCACCACTACTTCTTTTTGAGTGGTTAATTGGAGATAAGAGTCTCATGGAGACTTTTGTGCCTTGGCTGGCTTTGACCCATGATCCTCAGATCTCAGCCTCCTGCATAGCTAGGATTACAGGCATGAGCCATCAGTGCCTGGATGTTGATGGACATTTTTCATGTGAAAATATAGAACTCTTTACAAGAAACCTATGTGAAGATGTGCATGCATTGGCTTATGGAAATATATAAGAAAATGGACTCAACTGATTTTGAATCAGTAGTTTAGAAACAATATAGTATTTATCATGAGTAGTCTGAAAAATCAGGAGAGTTAGGCAAACATTTTTTGTTTTCTATCACAGACAGTAGCCTCATCACAAGGGTATACTGTTTAACAAATTACTATTTATGTTAATAACAATTAAGTAGAGCTATAACAAAAGCTATGTTCTATTATAATTAGGTGGGCCCTAATTATGAAGAAAGAAATTTGTATTTTCATGCACCATCACAAAACCAGTGCGCTTCATATACACAGTGTTGATGTTTTTCATTGTTAATCGCCATCCCTGGGCTTAGGAATCCATTCTCTTATACCATCGATTTTCATCTTGCCATTAATTAACACACATCTTCTCTACTTTCTACCATGAAATCAGTTATTTGATGGTATCCAAACAAGAAGTACTTTGGCTCATGATAATTGTTTTTGTAACAGAACTGCATGAGAGCCTAAAAAATACATCTAAAAAATGCCCCTGCGAACAAATGGTTTCAGTGTGGTCCCTTAAGATGGCCTCCCAGTGTACACCATTATAGCAGCGTTCCAATGCCAAGCAGCCCGGTCTATGCTATGACAATAAGTAATGGAAGAACTCGCACCATCCACACAAGACGGGGCAGCTCGTGTGGTGCCGGCCACCTGCCCTGGAAAACAGGAGCACTTGACTGTTTGTGATCGCTCTTCTATCTTGTTCTTATTACAGCATCTGTGGAGCGCCACCACCTCGCAAGTTCCCGTTTTAACATGGTGAGCTGTGCAAACAAAAGAAACAAAAGATAAAAACAATATGGACACATTTGGACACTTCCCTCCCTCTTTTTTTAATTAGAAGGACATTAAATATAGCTCTATAAGGGAGCTACCATGCATGAAACTAGAAATACAGTGATGCTAACTCCATAATGCAGATTTGATTTCCTTTCTCAATGTGATGGGACCATTTCTGTCAGTAAATGCTTGGTGAAGCAGGGACAATTAGTTGACTCCATTAGAATGAGCTGTTAAAGCAGTCTGAAATATAGAGGCAATACATGGTGCCATCAAAAACATATTTATTTGCAGATGACTTTTTCACACCTTTCCATTTGATGCATTTATAGTAATGTAAGTCCTGGGACAAGATGTCCTTCAGCAGAGTTGAGCCTAGCCACTTTCTTAAAGCAGATGCTGATAAAAGTGTGACTAGATAGAGAATCCTTCAAAAAAACACAAAACAGAATGTGAGAACCATATCTTCAGTATCCTGCTCAGTATCCCCAGTAAAGAAGAATCTTTAAGTTGCCACCATTTCATTCCAAGTTCCAGCCAATCTCTAGTCCAGAATCATTCCTTTCCTTGTGGATACAAGTACTACCAAATGACAAGAGCAGCCAGAACATAGATGAATCATATATGGAAGCCAGACACCTGGAAATCCAGATGTGAAAGCTTTCAGCCTCCAAGGACTATATGTTCAAACCTCAAAGCAAGGCTGTTGAGCTTTCTGGGAGACTGAAATATGTGGAGCTCACTTGCCACATTTGGAAAGGACTTGAGTCTGTCTTCATCTTTGTTGGGGTTTTTCCCTGTTTCCTCTTTAAAGCATTAACTCTACTATGAGGTGATAAAGTATGTTTCATTTCCTTAATGGAAAAAAAGCTTTATGTTAAAACGTTTGCTGAGTAATTACACTTTCAGAAGTTTAGAAAATGTGATTGGTATAAAAACAGAAATGTAAATAGAAAAGCAGGTCTGATGGTGTTTAAAGTTGTTACACCACGCAGTTCTATTAACCATGTCCCCAGAGATGAGAAAACACAGTGAGATGTGCAGTAAGTCAGGCTAGAGAGCTTGCATAGATTTTTCTAAGAGAATATAAATTATATCATCCACTTTTTAATCCCTCCATGTGAAGCCACAAAACCAAGTCATGTTTTAGATGAATGAATACCACACACAAAACACCACTGTGAAGGACACAGTCTATCCCTCTTCTTAAAGACCTGGAAATCCTAGGAAGAAAACACCTGGGTCAGAGATTAAGTAAATGTTGGATTTTGGAGCTCTTGAAGCAATGCAGTAAGTTCCAGAGAAGGTTCTTCTGATGCAGTTACCTGAAGAGTGAACTGAACTATGAGAAAGAAGGGTGCATTATGGAGATGTAAGGAAGGAAAAACATTTCCAACAGAAGCCAACCACATAAAAAAGGCCCTAATAAAAATAGGAGGAAATATGCTGTGTTTTCAGAACAGCAAAAGGCCAGGGTCACTGCGGTGAATTCAAGGAATTGAGAGGTTGAGGGAACTGTGTCACAAATGCAGTCAGGTCATGCAGAGACTGGTAAGGACACTGGTTATTATTTGGCTTATAAGGAAAATGTCATTACATCATTTATGTTTTAGAACTTTGCTTGACTTCTCCCGTCCCCACCATCCCGTTAAAGTCTGAAATGAAGAAAACAAGAATGGAAATCTGTAAAGTAGTTGTAGATATCTAGGTAGTAAAAGATGGGAATTAGACTCTATTAACTGTAGCAGAGGCCAGAAGCAGCAAGTTAGAGATGTGTTCAAGCTAATTGCTTGAATAACAGGTGAAAGGGAAACAGGAATGAAATATTACTCTTGATCTGAGTAATTAGTAGTAGATGACTCGGATAGAAAAGCCTGAGGAAAGGGAACTGGAAGATGATGGGTAGAATTAAGATGTACTTCTGATTGAGTCGTGTTAAATTTGAGTTTATTTGAGGAGGAGAGAGCCTTTCACTTTCCAGGCAGGCCCTCTACCACTTGAACCATACCCCTAGACGTTTTTACTTCATTTTTCAGATTTGCTCACACTTTTGCCCAGGGGTGGCCATGGAGTATATTCTTCCTACTTCTGTCTCTAGTAGCTGAGATCAGAGATATGTGTCCTCATGCCTAGCTTTTGATTGAGTTGAGATCTTGCTCATTGTTTTGCCTGGGCTGGTCTCCTATCTCAATCTTTCCAATCTTTGCCTCATGAATACCTGAGATTTTAGGCATATAACATCATGCCTAGACAAACTCCAAGATTCTTTGCAACACCCAAGTAGAAATGTAAATAAAAGCAACATTTAAGACATAGAGCTTAAGGAAGAGATCTGGGCTACAGACATAGACTTAAGAGCCTTAAATCGATAGATGTTATGTAAAGTCAAGGCTTTAATAGGCTTGCCATGAAAATGTCACTGATACAGAAGAGAAAAAGGAAAAGGAGTTTAAAATCTAGACATGAAATAGAAGACAGCAAACACTGGTAAAAGAAGCAATTAAAGAAAAAAGAAAAAGTCCTGGGACTTAAGGAACAGAAGAGCAAGGACTAAAATGTACAAAAGGAAGCAACTTATCAGCCATGTCAAATGTCATTGAGAGATCCAATTAAGTGAAGAGAGCATAGTGTCTATTAAAAAAAATATACCTTGAATAGTGAAAGCAATCTTTAGAAAAGAAAAAAAAACTTTTACAAAACATAAAGGTACAAAGACACAATCAGGAAAGAACAATCTCTTCAATAAACAGTGTTGAGACACTGGACACCTATATGCAGACTGATTTGGCCTTAGCTCATGCCACATATAAAAATCAACACAAAATGAATTAAAGACCTAAATACAGGATCTGAAACCATAAAACTGTTAGAGAAAAACAGAAGGGAAAAGTTCCATGAAATTGATCTGGACAGTGCTATTTTTAGACGTTAAAAACAAAAGCACCAGCAACAAAAGCAAAAATAGAATGAAAGGGCTTAAATCAGAATAAAAAAGCTCTGTACAGCCAAAGAAACATCCACCCTGAAAAAATATAGCCTGTGAAACTGAGAAAAACATTGTAGGGAGTGTTTAACTAAGCTTGATGTGGGACATAATTTGTTCTAAGAGGATAGAAATTGAAAAACTGTAGGTAGACAAATGGAAGATGCAGTAGTTTCTTATCTGTTTTCATCTAATGTAAGAGATTTATTTTTATTTTTATTTTTCTGGTCCGGTTGTGGGGCCTGAACTGTGGGCCTAGGTGCTGTCCCTCAGCTCTTCAGCTCAAGGCTAGCACTCTACCACTTGAGCCATAGTGCCACTCCGGATTTTTTTTTCTTTTTGCTTATGTGGTGCTGTGGAATCAAACCCATGGCCTCATGCATGCAAGGCAAGTGCTCTACCACTGAGCCACCTTCCCAGCCATACTGTGAGAGATTTTTGAAAAGAGAAATAAAAGAGAATGAAGCAGGTATCTATGAAAAAAGGATGTGAGTCTGGGAAGGACCAGTTACAGTATCTCACAGGGATTTCACTGAAGGATGCAAAGTGAAGAGGATGTGCAGGACTGGAGGGATGATGGGCAGAACTTGTAGAGTTGAGGTTGGAAGAATGTGTTCCTCTAACAACAGATCACTTGGGATGCTTGGACCTTTAATAGTGATTTAGAGAAACTAAGATACTGAGTGACGATGACCATAGTCTTTCATGTTTGAATGGAGACCAGAAAGAGATGATTAAGCTTTCTCCAGAGAGTGCCCATGGCAAGCAATCAGAGACCAAAGGTCACTTTGGAGAGAACTTGGTGGCTGAGCCTCTGCTCTCTTCCATAGGGACATAGCAGCCAAGAAAGAGCATATGGTATGGCTCCCTGACCTCTCTCCTGGGAAAAGAGGTATCTCTTCAGAACCATATCATAGAAAGATTTTTATTATATATTTGGAAAGAAGGGAGAAGTCTGGTTCCCTCTCTTCTGGCATGTGGAAGCATTGTACTTCTCCATCCTGTCAACTCTGGCTATGGGGATCTACTTTTCTTTGTCTAATAAAATCAAATTAAAAGCAATAAGACGTCTGGCACTGGTGGCTCATGCCTTTAATTCTAGATACTCAAGAGGCTGAGATCTGAGGACTACAGTTCAAAGGCAGCCCAGGTAAGAAAGTCCATGACTCTTATCTCCAATGAACCACTAAAAAGCCAGAAGTAGAGCTGTGGCTCAAGTAGTAGAGCACTATCCTTGAGCATAAAGTTCAGAAAAAGCCATCTCAGGGAGTCCAAACACCAGGATACACACACACACACACACACACACACACACACACACAACACACAACACACACATGCATACATGCATGCACACACACATTCAGTAAGAGGCATTTCTGAATGAAAGCTTTTCTTTGTAGAGAACCGACATTAACTTGGATCCCAACTGCAGAGATGTGGGACAGTCACAACCAACCATGATGCACAAGGACAAAATAAACTGATCCTGTTCCCAAAACTCTAACACGAGGAGTTTTGACTACCTCAAATTTCACAAACTTTGATAATACGGTCATTCCTTCTCCTGCTCCCTAATTTGTTCAGTATTTAACACTCCTATAGGAATCTAGATGTGTTGATTGTGGCCTAAGTTAAGAATAAATCCAATATCTATAATCCTGCATCATTCCAGTGCATGTGAAGCAATGTAGAATAAAGACAAAAGAGTTATTGTTCAGATATTTATGCACTTTGAAGAGTTGTAAGGGATTACTCTTCAATGGGATAATTACATTGGCTAAATTTAGAATGTCAGAGCTGTGATAGAAAAAAAAATGATGCTTCTTTCTTCTTGTAAAAGAAAGGAGGGTAAATGATGGCCATGCTGTACAATTGAGAGAAGATAATGCGGTAGCTGCATCATGACGAATGAGAAGAGTATCTCCCCTCAGAGAACATGGCACTAAATGTCAGGAGATTAATATAAAGGTGACAGAAAGAGCAAGTGGTAGCCTGTCA